CTGGGCCAGATCCCGAGAGTGCCACCCCCAGAGCCACTCCAGCCAGAGGGGAAGTGTGATGGGGGGCCTGAGAGAGCGTGGTGGGAACTGCTGTGGTCACGTTGTCCTCATTTAGCAAATGTTACAAAACCTTCTGGGCATACGAAGGCCCTGTGTGAACCCAGGCGACTGCATGGACCCACGGCCTCCCTGTGGTGCCTGTGTCCATCTGTGCCCAGGCCCCCACTGTCCCCACCACTCTGGCGTCATAGCCCCTGTCTCCGTAGCAGAAGCCCCTGCGCCTGTTCAAGGTGTGGGCGGGACCACATTCCCTCCACTCGGGCTGCTGGCCTCCAGCTGCCGGAGCCACGTTCCTGGCATTCCTGAGCAGGGCTGCACCTTTGCTCTAAAATCTGTGCCCAGGGGGCTTCCCTGGTGGCGCAGGGGTTAAGAATCCGCCTGCCAATGCAGGGGACACGGGTTCGAGCCCTGGTCTGGGAAGATCCCACGTGCTGTGGAGCAACTAAGCCCGTGCGCCACAACTACTGAGACTGTGCTGTAGAGCCCGCAAGCCACAACTACTGAACCCGCGTGCCACAGCTACTGAAGCCTGTGCGCCTAGAGCCCGTGCTCCGCAACAAGAGAAGCCACCTCAATGAGAAGCCCGCGCACTGCAACGAAGGGTAGCCCCCGCTCGCCGCAACTATAGAAAGCCCGCGCGCAGCAACGAAGACCCAACGCAGCCAAAACTAAATAAATAAAATAAAATAAAATAAAATTTGTGCCCAGGATTTGTTTTAATCACCTATGGTAAGGTGACAGAAATGGAGACAACTGCCTTTGAAGGAAGAACTTTCTTTTTTCAGTTTTTATTTATTTATTTTTACATCTTTATTGGAGTATAATTGCTCTACAATGGTGTGTTAGTTTCTGCTTTATAACAAAGTGAATCAGCTATACGTATACATATATCCCCATATCTCCTCCCTCTTGCGTCTCCCTCCCACCCTCCCCATCCCACCCCTCTAGGTGGTCACAGAGCACCGAGCTGATCTCCCTGTGCTATGCGGCTTCTTCCCACTAGCTAGCTATTTTACATTTGGTCATGTGTATATGTCCATGCCACTCATTTCTTCCCAGCTTCCCCTCCCCCCCACCCCGTGTCCTCAAGTCCATTCGCTATGTCTGCCTTGAAGGAAGAATTTATTACTCACATTTCTCAAGAGAAGGGGCCACCCCCTTCCACCAGGAGCATAGGTTTGGGTCAGGAGGCAGAAGCAGAAGTGAAGAGAACGTGGCCCAGAGCCTTAACTGGGGTTTTCACAGGAAGGAATGGGTGAGGCAGCACAGGTACACATGGCAGATTTAGGATTGGACAGTTTGAATAATTCTGGCAGGGCTGAGCGCTAGGGGCAGTGCTGCTTGCCCAGTGCCCAGCCCTGAGGGGGCCTGGGGCAGAGGGCACGTCGGCACGGTGGCTGAGAGTGGCTCACTGTGGGGGGGGCTCAGCACTGGGAGGGCTGTCTCTCCAGGACCAAGGCCCCAAATGCCACAGCACCAAGAATACAGAAAAGAAGCGAATGTAGCCAATACAGTCAGAGACAGATACGGGATGGGGGCGGAGGGAAGGAAACCGCTCTGCCCTGCTTAGAGATACAGGCCAGGTTTTTTATTCTATTTTATTTTATTTTTGCAGTACGCAGCCCTCTCACTGCTGTGGCCTCTCCCGTTGCGGAGCACAGGCTCCGAACGCGCAGGCTCAGCGGCCATGGCTCATGGGCCCAGCTGCTCCGCGGTATGTGGGATCCTTCCGGACCGGGGCACGAACCCGTATCCCCTGCATCGGCAGGCAGACTCTCAACCACTGCGCCATCAGGGAAGCCCTGGGCCAGGCTTTATTTGAGAAAAAACAGGCTTTTGTTTAAGAGAAGGAAGAGGGAGAAAGATTGACGGTGCTGCCAGCAGGGCCCCTGGTCCTCTTACCAATCAGAGACAGGGACGAAAAGCCTAACAGAAAAATAAATGAAGAGGGAGAAAAGGATGAAAGAAAAAACCAATATAAGGGCACAGAGGGGAGAAAATAAGGCCTAGTTCTGCCCGTTCTTTTCCCTGTAAAATTTAGGGGTCGCTCACGGTGGAAAAAACACGCCGTGCAGCTGTGGTCCCACTGTTAGGGCTCCACACCAGAAATCCAACACTGCTAACACCACGGCCTCCACCGACCAGCGACCAGACACTTTGCTCAGTGGGTGCCTCTCCCCATCGTTGGCTCCACCCTGAAGGGACAGCCACGCCTCTCCAGGCCACCCTGGCACCTGGCTGCCTTCCAGCACGCACCGTCCTGGCAGGCGAGCCCTTGGCCAACCTTGACCAACGGCAGACGCCTTTCTCCAGGAGCACAGGTGTGGCCTCACCGTGATGACGTCCTCCTCCAAGGACAGCCACTGGACACACAGGTCCAACATCTTCTAGTCCTTGCTGAGTTCTGGTGGCCACATATTCTTCCCCCAGATCCCCTGGCTACCTGGGGAGCCCCTCGGGATGACCTGAGTGGCAGCGGCGGGAGTCCGTGGACTGTGTGAACAGCACTGCCAGTTACCCCACGTGCTGGGGCTCCTCTCGTGCCTCAGCCCTGCAGACGGACGGACCCAGAGCTCAGCACACCAGCTGGACTTCACGCGGCTGTCTTAGCCGCGGGTGCCCTGAACAAGTGGCCCATCTGCACATTGATCATACACTGTCCAGCCATCACCTAAAGATCGCCCGCTTCAGAGGTGAGAACTCTAGGAATCTCTTGTCTCACAGACTCCCAAATATATATCAAAATCACACGTTTCCACGTGCACTAAGGCCACGATGTGAGGTGTGGCCAGGACATGCTACACATGTCACTTCTCAAAGTATAGTCCCTGACGGCTCCCAGAGGGCCTGTGTGACTGAGACAAAGACTGGTCTCCTCAAACACCCCTTTTCAAATTCCAGTCCAGCAAGTGGAACCCTAGATGGGCCTCTGTCTTGTCCCAGCCCTCAAGCTCTCTTAATTCAAGGACCGTGGTTAACTCACACCTCACGCCAAGTTCCAAAGCATTTCCACTGCCCTCTCCTCTGTTAAAGGGGACCTGTCCTGCCTTTGGGCACTAAAGACTCTTGGCATGTGAGGATACTTTAATAATGCCCATCCCCTCCCTCCGCCTCCCCATGTGGTCCTGCCTCCTATTTCTAGGGATTTGTGTCCGTCTGTCTAAGCACACATGATTAAAGCAAGTCCTGAGTGCAAATTTTAGGACGATCTTCAGATGGCTTTCTTTCTTCTGAAGTCACCACGCAGCCTCTTTCGTGTCAAATCTCCCTCTGCCTCCCCCTTACAAGGACACTCAGAACCCGCTCGGATAATCCAGGGTCATCTCCCTATCTCAAGACCCTTAACTTAGTCCCACCTGCGAAGTCCCTTCACGGTAGAAGCTCTCACTCAGAGGACGTGGGGGGCCAGCCGCTCACACACCATGTGCCCCTCACAATCCCTGGGCTACTACTGTTGTCATGTTTCAGTCTCTGGATATACTTCGAGCCCCACGAGATGTTATTATTGCCGTGTTATGTGTCACTCTTTCCTAGACTTATAGACAATAGACCTTTCTGCTGCCTTTCCTTCCTTCCTGCCCCTCTGGGCTGCAAGGATCACGTTCTTCTGGAAGAACACCAGTTACCGTTTCCGTAAAGGAGGGTCAGCGGTGACAAGCGTTCTCAGAGTTGGATTCTCCGAAGCGTCTCTATTTGACCTCCATTTCAGAGCACGCTTTTTGCTGGATCGAGACGTCCTGGCTAACTGGTTTAGTTTGAAGTTTTCCTTCCCTTGGCTACTGGTTCTGGCCGCTTCTGTTGGAAAGTCAGTGTTCTTTCTTGCCGTTTTGCACTTTGAGGGTGGCGGGTCCTGTCCCCATCGAGCTGCTTTGGAGGCTTTCCTTTCAGCTTTGGTTTCAGCATTTCACTAGGACCCGCCTGGGTTCTGCTGCCTTTGTACTTTTCCTCGGGCTACGGAGCACGTCTTCATTCTGTGACTGGATGTCGTCCATCACTTTTAGAGCTCCTCTCTCTTCAGCCCAAGGGACTGGTGACACTGGTTGACTCTGGGGCGGGGTTCTGCTGTCCGAGGGAGGGCAGTGCAAGGCCAGAGGCTCTTCCCCGAGTCCTGAGACGTTTGATTGGTGGAGGATGTGATGCTGTGCGACCTACAGTATATGTACGTGTACACACACGTAGTGCATGTGCAGTCTGAAGCTTAAACATTCACCGCTGACCCACCTCCCCCAACACCCAGGCCGCGCTGCCCATCTGCCCATAGAAATGTCCACTTGGCTTCTCAAAGGCAGCTTAGCCCCCTGACCACCCCCGTTGCTTTACAACAGCCCTCCTCTCAGAAAACGTCACATCCGCACGCTGCTCCAGCCAAATTCCTAAGAGCCACCAGTCCACCTTCCAAATGTGTCCCACTTCTGACCACCTTCCACCGAGCAGCCGCCTGGCCCGCGCGTTAGGATGCTTGCCGGCCCGCGAGCCGACCTTCCGAAGCATTAACAGACGACGGTTTTCACTCGAGCGGCTGAAGGCCGAGCGCTTTCCGAGTGCCGCCCAGTCCCCGCAGTCTGCTCGGCGCGGGAGGGAACGGAGGGGAGCAAACTACCGGGAAGGGGCTCCAGATTGGGGCGGGGGATGGCAGCCTGAGGGCAGCTGGGCAGAGCCTACTGCCTTGAGAAGCGCTCCAGATTCCGGGGCTGCCGGAGCTCCCCGCCCCGCCACCCAGCCCCACGCCCACCGCCCCGGGCCCGCCTCCACGGCCAGCTCCCGCCAGACCCCGCCCACGCCTCCTGCTTTCCCCTCCCGGCCGCGCCCCTCCCACAGCCCCGCTCCACGCCCACCGCTCCGGCCCCGCCCACCGCCCGCGGCCCGCCCCAGACCTCCGCCCGGCCCGGTCCTGCCGAGGCCCCGCCCCGTGCCGGCGGTCACGTGGCGCGCGACCCGGAGGCGGAACCGGCGGGCGGGGCGCGGACCTCGGCTCCCGGAGCGAGGAGGGCCGGGTGGGTGTCCTCCGATTGGGGTGCTCCCGTGCCCGGGTCTTGCGTCCCCCGCGCCCCCGCCATGCGCCCACCTCGCCCCTGCGCCGCGCTGCTTGCCCTCCTGGCCGCGTACCTCGCGGCCGCCGAGGCTCCGCACCTGGTGCGCGTGGACGCGGCCCGCGCGTTGCGTCCCCTGCAGCCCTTCTGGAGGAGCACCGGCTTCTGGTGAGCGCTCCGCGGGGGACACTGAGGTCGGAGCGGCCCAGCACGCCCCTGCTCGCTGCGCGCTCTTCCCAAACCGCGGCCGCGCACCCCGGCCCGGTCCTCCGGGACCCCCGTGTCGCACCTGGAGAGACCTGCAGTAGGCGCTCCGAAGTGAGGAGGGCCGCGGCTCGCTCCTTCCTTTCGGGTCCAGCCTCAGAGTGGGGATCTCCTCTCTGTCCGCTGGCTCTATGAGAAGTTTCCGGTGCTGCGGAGGTTTTCTAGCTGAGCGGCTGCCCCGTGTGGTGGGGGCCTGGGGCCAGGTCCTGAGTGTGCCTGGTCATCCCCCAGAGGCTGAAGAGCCTGGTGGCCAACCGCGGCAGCCCAGGCTGCAGGAGGGGCTGTGGCCCAGGACACTACTCTTTGGCGCAGATCGGGACCCCCCTCGAGGGGGCAACCCCAGAACGTTCGACGTCCCTGCAGTGGGACCTGTCCCCGTCCCTGGTGTCCCTGATTGCCTCTGTCAGACTTGGAGCTGATATCTCCCGGCCGGTGGGGCAGGGAGCAGGGTGGGAATGTGATCTCTCTGGGAGCCCCCGACCCCCATAAACCTGAGAGTTCGTCACAGTCCTGGCACTAGGGGGCAGTTTATTACATCAGAGACAGTAAAATTCACCAGCACACACGCCCCGGTCCTTGCCCTGAGTTTGTAGGTGTGGGGCCTGTGCTGAGGCCCCTCCGCTAGCCCCACTCAAGGGGACTAATGCCTCTGCTTCCCCTTGTTTTGTGCCCAGTCCCCCACTGCCGCACAGCCAGGCTGACCGGTATGACCTCAGCTGGGACCAGCAGCTCAACCTGGCCTACGTGGGTGCCGTCCCTCATGGTGGCATCGAACAGGTTCGGACCCACTGGCTGCTGGACCTCATCACGGCCAGGTGGGTGATGGAGGGGATGGGCAGCCTGGGGGCAGCTGGGCAGAGCCCAGTGTATGGAGATGCAGACGGAGACTAAGAGGAAGTGCCGTCTGGGTGTGGAGGACAGTGAAGTACCGGGCCATGGCGGGGTGACGGGGCGGGGGACTCCTGCTCCAAGAAGCCATTGCCCCTGTGCTTCTCGGCCAAGCATCCTGGGGGCAGGGAGAATGGAGGGCACCCTCCTGGCGCCACAGGTGCTGTGGCTGCTGGGGCAGTCCCTGGATCGGGCACAGCTGGACCCTGCAACGGCGAGTGGGCACCCTCGCTCTGTGCTCAGACTGTGGGGATGCCACGCCAGGGGCCGGACTGAGGTCGTGTTGGTCACATCTGCCTTTGGCCCTGCCGGCCCCTCTGGGGGCTGAGGCACAGGGTGTAAGAGACACTTGGGTGTGTGCATTGCGGGGTTTCCTAGACACAGAGACTCTCACACCCCTGGCCAGAGCTGCCAGCTCTCACTTGGTGGGGGGGTGCTAGCGGGCCAAGGGACCAACGTCCTTTTGGTACCTTGGAGGCCACGTGACTGCCTCAGGGTCCTTGTTCAAGTAAGATGGGACACCAACTGTCAGACCGGCTCCACGGACCAGCCTGGCACTGAGGCAGCGTTTGTCTCCAAGGTGCAGTTGAGGGTTCTCAAGTGTCTGGGTCCTTGTGTGTGTTCACTGCGACCCTCCATCCCATTTGGGGTTCCCTGGGTCCTCTAGATTGGAGGCACCAGGCGACAGCAAGATTGCAGTGATGGGTGGTGGGAGTGGAGGCTGGCGCAGGTGCCGGCTCTGTTAGAGGGTGTAGTTGGCGGCCACCAGCTCCTGGCGGCGGGCTTGGGCCGCCTGCACGGCGCAGTGCACGCTGGGAAACAGCTGCCCCTCCTCGGCCGCGTCCCCCGGGTCCTCCCCGAGGAAGCCGCCTCTCCTCAGGGTGTCCCTTACTGAGGGGCCGCAGCAGGCCAGGAGCAGGGTGATGCCCAAGGCCCCGTAGTCTCGGCGCAGGTCCTGCAGCGTGGCCAGGCCGGCGGCATCGAGGAACAGCAGCGGGGCACAGTCAATGACCACTGCGTGGAAGCGGGTCGCCGAGGGCACCAGTGCAGCTGTGCTGCTCCCGGGACCCAGGTCCCTGCCTTCGACAGGCTCTGCCTCGCCAGCCCCCACCCCCGGGCCCCGCTCCTTCCTCCTGGCGGCTGCGTACCCCGCGTTCAGCCCGGTGAGGCTGTAGAGTGACCGCAGGAAGAAGTCCTTATTGGCGTAGTAGAGGGGCCCCGTGAAGCGGAACACCTGCACACCAGGCTCGGGGACCAGGCCCTCAAATTCTGCTGGGTCCCCGTAGAAGCTGGAATCCCCGGCGCGGGCGAGCAGGGCAGCGTGTGGGTGCCGTGTGCGGCCGGCCAGGCTGAGCAGTGAGAGGAGAATGCCGGCCAGGAGCCCGGCCTCGGTGCTGACCAGCACGCAGGTGGCCGCCGTGGCCACCCAGACCAGAGCATCGGCAGGGCTGAGCCGCCACAGCCGCGGGACGTCACGCACCTTGCGCAGGGCCCCATGCAGGCTGACGATGATGACGCAGGCCAGCACGCTCCGTTGCAGGTCCCGGAACAGGGGCGCCAGCGCCAGCACCACCAGCAGCACCACAGCGGCGCTGACCGCGCTGGACAGCTGCGTGCGGCACCCGGTGGCTGTCTTCACCAGGCTCTTGGCCAGGGCGGCACTGGTGGCAAAACAGTGGAAGAAGGCAGGCAGCACGTTGCAGCAGCCCACAGCCAGCAGCTCCTGGTTGGCGCGCACAGAGTAGCCATGGCTGCGGGCGAACATCTCCGCCAGCGAGATGGAGAAGGCGGAGCCCACGAGGGCCAGGGACGCGGCGTCCAGCGCCACGCGCCACACCAGCGCCGGGTCTGGCACATGCGGGGCCATGAAGCCAGTGGGGATGTCGCCAGCCACGCTGGAGCCGAAGCGCTCGTGGAACTGCCCGAAGTGGGACACGAGCGTGGCCGCCCCGATGACCAGCAGTTCTGCGGGCAGCGGCACCTTCAAGTGCTGCCGGTAGCGGTCCGAGAGCTCCTTGGCCGCCAGCAGCACGGCCAGGCACGTGGCACTGGTGAGCACGTCGCACAGGTTGGCCTGCCCGGCACTGCGCAGCAGGCTCAGCCACGTGCTGACCACCAGGCCCGGCCCCTGGTGCCGCGGGACACGCACGCCCAGCAGGTGTCGGAGCTGGGAGGTCAGGATGGTCACTGAGGCCCCCATGGCGAAGCCGTCCAGCAGCGGCTGCGAGAGGTAGGCGGACACAAAGCCCAGCCCGAGGATGCCCATGAGGACCTGCAGACAGAGCGTGGTCAGGGCCGCAGGGCGCGGGCGTAGCACAGAGCTGGACCTCCCTCCCTCGCATTGCCTATTTCCCATGTGGACCCCACCCGCGGCCGCCTGCACATACGTGTGTGCGCACAGGCACGGCAGACGCCGGAGTGCACGCTGTGGCCACGACGCTCACCGTGGTCTCACACACGCGGGCTCTGGGCATCGGAAGGCAGCTCCTTTCTCAGCCCTGTCCACAGCACCGCCCCCCTCCCGGGGGACCTGGAGCTGAGAGGAAGGACCTGAGGTGGCTCTTGGGAGGGGGCGACGTTGGGGTGGACAGCCCTGGTCCAGTGAGGGCTGGGTGCGGGGAGGCCGTGGGAAGGCAGGCGGGCAGGCAGTTCGCAGGATCCCACTTGGGACAGGAAGCTGGGGAGGATGTGCAGACCAAGTGGGGGCACATTTGGGCCCGAGGCCACACTCTGCAGCTGGCCAGGCAGGCCCCCGACCCCGGGCACCCTCAGCCCCTCTGGTGACCCAACCTGGGGTGCTGTCACGCACCCACTTCTGCCTATGCCCTGTTCTCTCCTCGCCTTGCGGGTTAAGCCACCGCCCTGACCTCCTGTCTCCCGCGGGCTTGGCCCTTGCAGGGGGGCGACCAGTACCTGGAGGGGCTGCTCTGAGTGGCTGAGCCAGCCTGTCTAGGCCCAGGCCCAACTCCTCACCTGGTAAACCCCGGCCAGCAGCGTGAGGGCGGTGGCCACGCGGATGGCGTAGCAGTCCCGGCTGCAGTCCTGCAGCCCAAGCGCCGGCATGGTGGCCGAGGCGTTGAGGGCGCTGTGGTTGGCCCCGGGCCCCGGGCCGTCCTGGGCGGGGTCGAAGCCGGCCTGCAGGAGCTCGCGGTCTACCACCTGGCCCACCATGAGGCAGAGCAGGCTGAAGATACCCACGGAGACGTGGCGTGAGGTGCCCATGAGGAAGTAGATGAGGTTCGCAAAGAAGGACGTGTAGAGGCTGTAGATGGGCTGCAGCCCGGCCAGCAGTGAGTAGGCGATGGCCTGGGGCACCAAGATGATGCCGATGACCAGCCCAGATACGACGTCACCCGCCAGGTCCTCCCGAGGCTGGTACTGGCGGAGCCAGCGCGTGGCGGGGAGCAGGTTCTGCAGCAGTGCCCAGGCCCCCTGCACGCTGCACGAACAGCTCCGCCGCAGCCGGGCCTTCAGAGCCTCTCGCAGGCCTGGGGGTGCGGGGGGCCGCCGGCGAACCAGCGCCAGCCCCCGGCCCTGCTGTGTGCACTCAGGGGACGCTTCCATCGTGGGGCACCAGCCCGCCCCCCGAGAAAACCTGCAGAGTGGGCAGAAGTGGGTGTCATTGCTGGGGTGGCGAGACGTGTCAGAGTCAGGGCGTCACGGAGACCCAGACTCGCGTGGCCAGAACAAGCTCCACTGCTCTCCGTCCGCGCCCGAGGCCCCTCCGCTCCGCCGCCCGGACCACCACAGCCCCCTCTGGCCGTCCCTCCATCACCTCTGCACTGCGGCCCTGCTGGCGGGAAGAGCCTTGCAGACGCCAGGACCCCAAATCTGTGCCAGGTCCTTGCGGCAGAATTCCCGGAACGTGCTTTGAGGGGCCGGCTGGCAGGGGAGCGGGGGTGACTGGTGTCCGTCGCCTGCAGGGTGTTCTGGGACAGCAGGCCCCTTTCCCGGTGAGTGTTAACGCTTCTGGGTTTTGGCTGGTGGCTCAGGCCGCACAGGCACACCGTGGAACACACGTGCCAACCGTCCCTGCTCTCCAGAGGGCAGCCTGCCACCCGGCCCAGGCTGACCTTGCCTCTGTGCTCAGCGAGCGCCGGGGCGTCCCGTTCACAGCTGTGCTGAGGTCCGCCAGGACTTCAGCTCTTGCTGCCCCCCTCATGGTGACGTGAAGCAGATGGTCCCTGCTTCCTCAGAGCCTGGTCCCCCTGGCGCGGTGTGTGCACTGGCTGGGGATGCGGGGCCTGGGGTGTCCCCGGGTGTGGAGGATGGGCGCTCGTCCCGGCCTGGTGTGAGGTGTGGGCAGGCGGACGCCGCCCCCAGGGCTCGAGTGGCAGGCCTGCCCTTTGGGGGATGCTAGGGGAGCTGTTTCTTTCCTTTGAAGACCTCACCACACAGGGGTCCCTGGACACCTTGAGCTCAGCCAGCCCCCGAGGTCCAGGTGTGTCGACTGAGTGACTGTTTAAACAACGGGGAGTCCACAAAAGAAACACTGGAATCGGGCCTCTCCACTTAACAGCGTCCTGCCCCTCCGCTCCATCCAGGGAGCTGGCCTCTGCTGTGGCCGAGTTGTCTAGAGCTGTTGCTGTCCTGCCGCAGGGTCCCAGGGGGACTCTTACCTGAGGGGCCCCTCGCGGGCTCGGCAGAGAGTGCGAACCTAGCTTGTCTGTCCCCGGGGCCTTGGGCTCAGTTAGCGGGTTGGGCGTGCAGGCGGTGAGCTCAGGCACAGAGCTGGCCTGGCACTGACCGGCGGGCAGTGCTCTGCGCTTAGCATCTGACTGCTCGGCTGTGCTGGGCGTGCAGTTAAATCATTTACTCCGAAGACTGCTGAGTCACAGGCTCCCCCAGATGAGCATTACCTGAGCGGCTAATACGGGGAGTTGTGCGGTAATCAGAGGCGCACAGACAGTTACAATTGTGTGGGGCT